AGGTCACAGTCATGTAGGTCAGTCAGTTCAGGGAGCTTCTGCTCTGGAAAAGAGCATGCTCTGGTTTTTCTGGAAGGTTCCAAGCTTCATAGACACCACAGGCCAGGGGACTCTGATGTCCTCAGCTCATGCAGAGTCACAGGAGCTGATGCTAGAGCTCCAGACCAAGGGTTCCACCATGATTCATGATCCCACCATGGTTGGAGAAGGGCCTGCCCTGATTTCAGAGGTCCTATCTGCAGGCGTGCTGGGTGACCGCCCTGGTGCCAGCTCCCAGGGCCTTGAGAGTTGCTGGGAGGGCAGAGCACAGAGCTGCTGTTGTCTAGTACCCTGTCCGTAAGGCTAAGGCTAGTCTACCCCACCCCAACAGAGAACAGCTCACTTCTACCCACCCCATTCTTAGTTCCTGCATTCTGGGGCCTTGACCTGCCCAGCACCTCCTCCAACTCAGACTTCAGGCACATGGAAGGGAAGGGACAGACTCAATATATACAGGACACCCTCAGCATGCCCTTCAGGAACATGCCAGCATGCAATGCGGTTCGCCCAGTTAGCAAGGGAGACCACCAGATGAGGCCCTGGTGAGCCCCAAAGCCCCAGCCAGGATGGGGCCCCAGGGATGGGGACGGTAGTCCACACCTGGCAGGGGCCTTCAGAGATGGCAGGGGAGAGCTGGGACCACGTCTTCCAGGAACACTAAGGCTGGTATAAGTCTACCAGTTCATTCCCTTGGCTCAGGCAGAGGCAGGGGCATGGCCACGGAGCTCAGCTCTGCCCAGGCTCAAGGCCCTCACCTCTGAGGGGGAGTCACAGGACCTTAACTGCAAGGTGAATCTAGAGAAGTCAGATAAGGGCAGCTTGGGTCTTTGCCCCGATGGAAAAGGCAGTCACTGCTGCTGGCCACCAGCTCTGACCACCTAGGGCCTAGGTCAAGGTGGTCCCCTGTAGCCCTCTAGGGTCTGGCATTTCACTCAGCCCCACAGCAGTGGCCACATCATACCCATTTTACAGATGTAGACACTGAGCACCAAGTAGGATTCAGAAGTCTCTCTATACACCTTTACTTCCTCCCCTACTTTGCAAAGGACTGGCATGCCTAACATACCCCCAACCCCAAACAGCAGGGCAGCCTCAGGACTCAGACCTGAGCTGAGAACAAAGAAGAGGCCAGGCCCAAGGGAGCCAGCAGCTGCCTGCCGACTGTCGATGCCTGCCACGGTCACTAGAGCTGTGCCCGACGTGTGTGCCGTGAAGCAGAGCTTTAAGCTGCAGGAGAAGCCTTAACCACAGTCCTGGAAGTCTCCTTCCTAGCTGTCTCCCTCAAAAAGATTTCACTCCGTATAAACAGGCTTCTGTGAGGCCTTGCACCCCAGATTCCCTGGGGCTCCAACAAGCCCTCTGGAGTCTGGGTAGCCCATCTGGAAACGGCCCTAAGCAGGAAGTGCCATGAGCCCGTGCCCTCAGTGCCCACGCGCCACCCACACTCCCCCAAAGCCACAGAGCTTTAGGAAAACTACCAGAAGAATTGGCCCTTGAAGTACTTTCCAGCAGCGCCAGCCCCTCCTTTTCAAGAACCTTCTAGAGAAGAAATCGGTGAAGATGAAAATACAGCAAGTGCTGTTATCCGGAACCTTCTGGAAAGCCAGGAGTTAAATCACCTCTATTTCCAATGGAATGAAAATTCTGTTTCACTTGCAGGACACAAAATGATGCTGAGGCCGGTCCTCCACCTCTGTGGGAGCTGAGGTCGGTCCTCCACCTCTGTGGACGCTGAGGTCGGTCCTCCACCTCTGTGGGAGCTGAGGCCGGTCCCCCACCTCCATCATTACACCATTAGACAACAAAGAAGAAGAAAAGTCCCCGTTGACCACCCTCCGCCTCGCTGCCCTCCCTGGTCTTCATTAAGAAAGACAGGTCCAATTTCCCGCCGTGAGCACAGCTAACAGCCAGGAAACCCTGGGGCTGGGAAAACACGGCCTCAGACCATTAACAACTTGTGGTCAACAAAAAACCCCGGCTCCTGGCAGCTGCTCTCCCTCAAATCTAATTCCACAGTAGGAGAAACAGCTCACCAGAAATACAGGGCAGTGAACACACACAACCTGCAGTTCCAAGTCAGCTGCCCGGCATCAGTTACAGGGTGAGATCTGCACCATGTCCCGACATCAGTTACAGGGTGAGATCTGCACCGTGCTGCAGTTCCAAGTCAGCTGCCCGGCATCAGTTACAGGGTGAGATCTGCACCGTATATGGCACAACAAATCCCAGGAAGCAAAACTGGGCTCTGCAGTCCAGGACCGGTGTGGGCTCAAATATTAGGAGCTGTCTTCATTCTTAACACAAGCCAGTAATGGTTACAGATGCTTACTGTGGACTACGTGGGTGCATGTCTTCTGTGGATCGGTTCTTGCACCCCCACACACACAGTTGGCATGATGATTGCCCCCATTCTGCAAATGGTAAAATAAGCCTCAGCTAGGGAGGGAACTCTGCCAAGGCCTCTGGGCCGGGGGTCTAATCTTCAAAGGTTCCCTCCGGCAGTAGCGCTTCCCACGGGTGCTGGGGGAAACAACTCTTGCTGTTCCATTACAGGGTTCTGTCTTTTAAGACGATGCTACAGGAGGTTGGGGAGATGGCTCCGTCAGTAAAGGGCTTCCCACACAAGCATGAGGGCCTGAGTTGGGATCCTGACAACCCATGTAAAACACCCAGTGTGGGGGTACACACCAGGAAAAGTAGCCTTGGGGAGACAGACAATCCCTGGATAGTTTCTGGCCAAATCAGTGACCTCCAGATTCAGTGAGAGAACACCAAGGTGCAGGGTGACTGAGGAAGACAGTCAACATTGACCTCTGGCCTTCACACGCACACACATGTACATGTACACTTGTATATAAACATGAACTTGCACACACACATACAACACATACACACAATTTTTTAAAGACACAAACCTTCCTAAGCCTTTATGATGAAAGCACATGATAACACACGTGCAGACTAGACAGGATTTTTTTTTAATGTGTATGAATGTATTGCCTGCATGCATGTATGTACACCCGTGTTGTACAATGCCTGCAGAGGTCAGAAGAGGGCATCAGATCCCCTGGAACCGGAGTTACAGATGGTTGTTAGCCACCATGTAGGTGCTGGGAACCAAGTCCAAGTCCTCTGCAGGGGCAGCTGGTGCTCTTTACCACTGAACCATCTCTCCAGCCCTGAGACAAGGATTTTGCACAGCCTAACACAGCTACTGCATGGCAAATTCACTCAGACACAACAGTCTGCTCAGCTCTGTGATACCCTTGTACCCTGCACCTTCAGAGATCGGTCAACATGGGTGTCTGAGCTGCCCTGGCACCGCTGCCTGGGGTCCTCTCCCCCACTTCAGGTGCCCCTGTTCCCTTCCACACTCCCCAGGAGAGTCCTAAGGCTCAACAACATTCCCAGCTTTGCCTAGACCCTCCCGCCAGAAAAGTGGTTAAAGCAGCATTTGACCCCAGGCCAATGCCAGCACCAGCTCGCAGGAGACACCAGCAGCCGTCTCTCCAGGAGAGTCCTAAGGCTCAACAACATTCCCAGCTTTGCCTAGACCCTCCCACCAGAAAAGTGGTTAAAGCAGCATTTGACCCCAGGGCCAATGCCAGCACCAGCTCGCAGGAGACACCAGCAGCCGTCTCCGCCTGGCTCAGCACACCCAGTCATCCTAGCATTCATCCCAGATCCCTGCACAGGTCAGGTCTAAAACCTGCCCCGACGGTGACTCCATAGCTTGCAGGATTTGGTAGAATCTGCAAGACCCATGTGCTTGCCTTTCCCTGCAGATCCCCAGGCTGCAGCATCAAGCAAACAGCCCAGAAGGGCAGCTGGATGCAGCAGATCCAATCACACCCTTCCAGCCACCCTGTTCCCACACAGCAGCTATCCTGGCCTCTCCTCAGCTGATCACCACAGGCTCTGTCCGACCTACCCCTAGCTGACCTTGGCCTAACCCCCACACAGGCACTGCATCCAGTTAAAAACATGGCTCCAGAACCCCATCACATCCCTGACACCATCCGCAAGTCTCAGTAGGACAGACAGCACATGCAGGGCAGCGCTTCAACACAGAGAAAAAACAGCATTCACATGGCCCCGAGGAGTCTGGGAAGACACCCCACCCCCGAGACCTGTCCGTCCCGTCCAGCCCTTGGGTGGTACCTTGACAGCCAAGACAGCCTTTGGAGATCATTTTCCAGGTGCTGTTTAAACCCCTGGGGCCAGGGAGCCCTGTGCTACCAAATCTTCCACAGAGCTGAAGATGTGTTAAAAACAAGGCACAAGGCCAAGCATCCCAGTCCAAGCCAGGGGTGCATCGGTCCCCAGCTCTCTCTCGGGACACAGACCTCAGGGATGGCTACAGTTGCTGTACTAGTCCAACTGGTTTAGGTGGTCTGTTAAGACCCCTGGTCACCTGCATAAGCTCTCAACCTTCTTCCTGGGGCTCGGCAATTCCCACCATACTCCCATGTCCGACACTGGACCAGAGGGCTATGGGGACTAAAGTGCAGGCCCAGCTCTGCTCCCGTTTCCAGAGTATTTCCCAGGGAAGCAGGCTCTGCTGGAACACCCTCCTAACAATCTCACCTGGTGACGCAGCCCTGCCCTCCGTGTCTGCCCAGAAGACACTGCCTCTTCTCAGCACGGCCCTTACCAATCAGAAGGTGCCAATCACAGCAAGCTTGCCCAAGCCCCATGTCTATCCCAAGCTGGTACCCAGGAGCTGCGTACTGGGCTGATTGGACAACCATCATGGCCTGGCCCTCATGTGGCAGCTGCTCTGATCTCTCTACTCGCATCCCATTGGCCATGGTAGAGGCTTCAGACCACAACACAGGCCAGCTGGTCCCCAACCAAGGAGGCAGGCCTTCGATAGCAGCTGTGGAAGTTCCACAGGAGAAGTCACCATTTAGAGGCATGAGTCCCAAGTGGCACAGGGGAACCACCCACCTCCTGCCTACCTCAAACATTTCATCATCCAGGATCTGGGTGCCAAACACAAAGATGCCGTTTGTGTCGATTATGGGGTGGTCACTGCGGTTGAGGAATTTCGTGATCTTCTTTTTACAGTCGAGGATTAAGGTGACATTTTTCTTGTGGACACTGAGAGCAATTCGGTGCCACCTGCAAAGAAACAGTCAGTCAGTGGGGAAGGAGGCGTGTATCACAGAAGGCCAGCCACGTAACCGCCTAGCGGAGTCCCCAGGGCGACACACTGCAAAGCCTTAGAGTGACAAGTTTGAGCCTACGTCGAGACATGTTGCTCTCTCTAGGAGTCAAAGCAGGAAACACACTTGCTGGTTCTGGAGCAGCTTGGCTTTTTCACGGCCACAATAAGCTTCTTTCCCCTTTGTGAATACGGCAGGGAGAAATGAATGCTTTTATCCCAGAAAGTGCTTGTGCTCACTGAAAGAGGCGTCTCTCTGTCTCTCTCCTCTTTGAGCGCAACCAGGAAAACTTTTCTTTGGCTTCTGAGAGTTCTGTTCTGTCAAGCCAAATATAGACCAAACCACCACCAGACTGTCCATCTTCAGGAGCTCAGCTGTGCCCACTTGCAAAAGATCCTCACAGCTGGGCTGTTGGCCATCCCTCACAGGAGGAGGAGTGGGGAGGGTCATGTGACCCTCACACGAGCATCACATGAGTATCCAGCCACTCCTCCCAGCCTGTTCTAGGCACATGGCCAGGGGAGGGGCAGCGTCCTAGGAAGGCTGGGGGAGGGGCAGTTCCACCTGTTTGCCTATGGGGAAGCTATCATCTATGCATGCTGGATGAAGACTTTCCAGTGAGGCGTCGGAGGGGAACACCACAGCCTGCTCTATAAGGAATTGTAACTGCTCTGATGGAATTGTAACTCAGTGAGTCACTAGGACATTTGGAGGAGGCAGACTTGTTTACATCTCCCTCCCCAAGGAAGTTTTAGCAACAATCCCTTTATTTACAGGGGTCAACAGGGGTCGATTTACAGGAATGATTTTAATACAGGCGCTGTTCGGGAAAGATGTAAGAGGCAGAAAATTGTACTTTTATCTGATCCCCCTGACCCTCAGAACCTCAGATTTCTTGCCTTTCAGAAGAGGACAGTCAGGCAAACTCCATGAGCTCATTTAGCTGATGTGCCCTGTCACCTGATGTCACCTGGTGGGCAGGGGACAGCACTCAGTGACGCACCACTGAACCCTCTCTCACCCATCCAAGGGAAGAAATGAGTGTGGCCGGCTCACCTGGCCAGCCAGCAGTAGCCGTTACAACCACGGGAAAAAGTCAGGGGGAGGCTGCGGGGCTGCAGCCACAATGTGACATCAGAAGGGGCCCTCAGATTCCTGTGTGGAATCTGAACCCCCATGGCCACTGAGGTACTGCCCTTTACTGGGAAGGGGTGGACACAATGGCTTGACACAAAATCTTGCTGGAGAATGCAGGAACCACGGCCCGGAGACCTCACGGTTGCCCCGTGGGATGATCACCAGCATTAGTGGTGTCCCCAGCAGAATTCTGGCGGGACAGGCCTTTGTTTTAAATTATTTACTCACATGGAGACAGCGACAGATCTGAGGACATGATAAATCCCTTTGAGAACAAGCTGGGCATGGTCTCACAATCTCCTATGTCCCTTCTGACCAAGGGCCAATGCGCAATGTACTTAGCCCATTCCACAGGGATAGGGCGAAGGAGGAACAAGGACTCCTCAGGAGTCTAGACAAGCTCAGAACCCAGGATTCGACTCCAGGTCCAGGGCTGTCTTACTGGTGCCCTGCATTCAGGAGTCATGTATCACCCGTTACACAGCTGCTTCACTGCCCTGTCCTGCCAGGGCTCTCCAGGACTTCCTCCTTCAACAGGGCACTTACTTGCCATCTGACAGGTTGATGCCTGGGAAGAGTGGGTATTCTTCAGGCCCTGGCTTCCCGGTGTGGTCCTCATAGAGGAAGACAGGTGAGCGGCCCAGCTCCAGGCCAACTTGCTGGATGCCCTGCTCATTGTAGATAGAGACCAGGAAGGCCTGGCTGCCTTTCTTGGCTTTCAAGGTGGTCAGGATGGAGAAGTCCTCAGGAAACACGGACTCTGGAACAGAGGACAGGGTGAGAAGACAGCAGGGGACCCCAATCCTGGCCAGCCACAGAAAGCAGCAGGAAAGCAATCCAGGTAGCTGGCTGCCTCTGTGGCACGCGGTGCCACACAGCCACCTGCGGCTCTCTGATCAAACCACTCCTGTAGCCTGCTCCATCACCGCGTGGCCAAGCTGCCCTTCAAGAAAGGCGTGGTTCAGTTCATGCATTTCCAGGAAACTCTGGTGGTCCCTCCAGGGAGGAGCACACAGCACCCTCTCCCTGCTTCTATCCTAGGCCTCCGTGTATAAACCCTACTTAGGACCTGCTAGACCATGCGAGCTGCCCTGAGCGGAGGCAGTTTCTGAAGCATCTTTCTGCCCTCTGTTACATGGGTAGCTGGGCACAGTGTGTCTCATTCAGCGCCTCTCACAGGAGAAGGGGAAGAGCCTGGTGGTCCCCCCAGGGAGGAGCACACAGCACCCTCTCCCTGCTTCTATCCTAGGCCTCCGTGTATAAACCCTACTTAGGACCTGCTAGACCATGCGAGCTGCCCTGAGCGGAGGCAGTTTCTGAAGCATCTTTCTGCCCTCTGTTACATGGGTAGCTGGGCACAGTGTGTCTCATTCAGCGCCTCTCACAGGAGAAGGGGAAGAGCAGAGGGGAGGGCTGTGGGAGGCCACAGGCCTGGGGCTCAACTAGACGCACACTTTCTGAGATTTCTTCCATAACATGCAAATTAAAGAAAAGGTGGAAATAAAAAGACTCCAAATTTAAATGTTATAAAAAACCAAATCTCAGGACTAGAGAAATGGCTCAGTGGTTAAGAGCATTGGCTGCTCTTGCAGAGGACCTGGGTTTGATTCCCAGCACCCACATCTGTAACTCCAGTTCCAGGGGATCTGAACCCCTCTTCTGACCTCCTCGGGCATTGCACAACACTGACTGCTCTTACAGAAGACCTGGGTTCGAATCCCAGCACCCACATGGCAGCTAACAACTGTCCATGACTCCAGTCCCAGGGGATCTGACAGCCTCTTCTGTCCTCCGTGGGTATTGCATGACACGGGTGCACTTACCTACATGCAGGCAATACACTCATACACATAAAAATAATAAATAAAATATATAAAAAAAGAAAGAAAAACCAATCTCTAGTAGGTTGAACAGGAGAGATTATTCCTTACAACACAGGCAGGTCCCAAGGGTGCCTAAACCCACTTCCGAGGCTTCCTTTGGCTGAGGCTTGATGGGATATGTAATACCCCTAAGCGCCTCCATTTAACTGGTCAATCATCTGGTCATAGGACCGCCCCTGGGAAGGCGGGTCATGCTAAGTAGATGGGCGAGAGATTATTCCTTACAACACAGGCAGGTCCCAAGGGTGCCTAAACCCACTCCCGAGGCTTCCTTTGGCTGAGGCTTGATGGGATATGTAATACCCCTAAGCACCTCCATTTAACTGGTCAATCATCTGATCATAGGACCGCCCCTAGGAAGGCGGGTTATGCTAAGTAGATGGGTGGAACACCTAGTGTGTTAATGAGATAGCGACTTTTCCTGCCTGTAATCCCGCCTATGGGTGCAGAACTTCCTGGCTACAGCCATGTAGTCTGTGAGTTGCTGCCACTTCCCTTTTCTTCTTCACGCCTTTCTTACTGAACATGCCTTCTTGAAGGCTTTGGGCCGCCCCTAGCATCTGCATCTCTTCACTTTTTCTCTAAAGCTTCCTTCTCCCAGCCTGTCACTGCCAGTCAGCCATGTGTCTGACCACGAGGCAGGCACTAAACCTGCACGGCTCCCATGACTTTCCTTCCACGATTCACCTCCTCAAGGCAGCTGCCAGGATGACCAGCTCGTCTGCCCTGAGGATTTCTTTTTCTTTAAAATCCTAGCAAAATTGTAAAAGCTTAATTTGGCTGATTTGGAACTTTTTGAGCCTGGGTAGTCCTTCCCAGTGGTCCCAAACTCTGTAACAGCACCTTGGGTGCTACCTCACCATTGATCATGGTGGAGAGGTGAGCTGTGGTCCCAGCACACATGATCCTGCCAGGAGCCCAGTGCTGACAGGGGAGGTGCAGCTCAGTTAATTAATGCTCAAGAGAGTGATCCAGGGTCACCCTCTCCCACCCATAGATGGTGTGTCTCTCTGGGTCACTCAGGGTCGCTGAGCCCCAGAAAGGTGTCAGCAAGGACTGGCTGATGAAGGAGAGAGGTGGGAGGTGCCACTGAGCCACTCTGTCCCTCCTGCAGAGGTCTGGAGTCTGGCTTATGGGCTTAGACAGGGCAAGAGTAGTGTCTCACGAACCCCATCTCCCCTTTAGAACTGGAACAAGGTCTACCACTTGGCCCAGGAGGCCTCTACTGCAGGTGGCAAAGCAGGGTTGCAGCAACTCCCACACAAAGCTATCTAAGGGCACCCTCTGCTGATGGAATTGCATACTGCAGGTGCCGTGCTGGGAGAAGACCTCACCCAGAGCGGAAGGCCACACCTGCCTGCTGCCCCCTCCAAGTCTGAGCTCATGAGGGCTGCGGGTGCTCTAGACGGCAAAACTGTTCAAGCCCCAAGGGGTGGCACAGGGCACAGTGGGCAGGAATGGATGGAAAAAAAAAAACACCTGTGGGGTCATGACCCTCACGAAGGGGTCCTAAGGTCTGATAACGAATAGCCAGGCATCCCAGCCTGGGTCAGGCACCTGTGTAAAGAGGCTGGGTGCACAGGGACCTGTTTGCTGTGCTCAGCAGCATGACTGTCTCCCTTGGGGATTAGACCACAATATTGGGCCGCTCTGGCGGCAGGTAAGAGTGGTCAGTGCAGCAACCTGAGGACAGGCAGGCTCTACTGAGGAACACACAGCAGACCTTCCACCTCCCAGAGAGAAGCTGCTTGGAATGAGACTGATGAGGTCTCACCACTGCCTCACTGCCCTGGTCGTCACACTGTCCCCCAGATGTAGGGATATGAAGGGGATGGAGGTCCCAGCCTCAGCTGGTGCTGGTGGGCAGTGAGACCTGCCATGTGTGCCCAGTAGGAGCCCCCAACCGGCCATGCCAGTGGTAGGGTCTTGTCCCTGGGAGTAAGTGGTCACTGAGGGCCCAGGGTGGTGCTGAGCCTGAAGTGACCTAAAGATCACTGTCTTTGTCCAGGGTGGGCCATGCAGTGATGACCTGAATCAGTGACTCCCACCTCCAGTCCCAACCTGACTCTGTGTCCCTGGCAGTCACTGCTGACTGAAATAATTGAAGAATGGGAAATGAGAGAGTTCACTTTATCAGGCGTGATGCATGGCTGAGGACCTCAAGCCCTTCTCTCCCAGCTCATTAAACTGTTCTTTCTCGAAGTTTAAAATCGCTATGGTAACAAATTTTCTAAGCTCAGATAAAACCTGAAAAAGATGAATTATATTCAACATTAATCTCTCTCCTGGCAAAATAACAATGGATTTATAGTCACTTTAGGAAGGTCCCTTCTCATCGTGACACCGTAATCTAGGCTGCTGGGAGTCTGGGAGAAGTGAGTCTCCGCTGCCCAGCACTTCCTAATTCATCTCACTCAGAGGAGCTGCCACGGAGAGGCAAGCACAGCTGAGAGCCAGCCCCTTCCCTCCAGCATCTCCCTTTCCTTCCACTGATGCCCAAAGGCACCATGGTAAGAATACAGTAGGGGGCTAATAAATGCAGTTGCCATGGAACTGACTCATTCCAAGTCAATGGTTACAGGCCTGCTAATTCATGGCTAGTCTCAATGGGGTAATCAGTAGTTGTGATGAGCCCCCTACCCTGTGCCAATCTCCAGGGTGAAGTCAGGGGACAGATACGGTCCTTGTACCCAGGAAGTGATAACTTCCTTCCACAGGCAACAGAAACAGCAATCAAATAAATTAACCAATTAAATCAATTACATAATTGCCAATGTGCAGTGGTTGGGGGTGGATAAAAAAAGAGGCGGGGGGCAGGACAGCACTGCAGAGTGTGGATAGCTTTGGGGGGGTGGTTAGCAAGGCAAGAGGTGGGTGTCAATGGCCCCGGTAGCCAGGGTGAAGGCCTTGCTGAGGGATTCTTGCCTGCTTCCCTGGGCCTCCCCATGAGACTGTTCATTGTACCTGGGGGAGATGACAGGCCCCAGAGAGCAGCTGTCATCTGTCACCTATGGGATGGAGCTGTTCTGGGGACACCCAGCCCGGCCCACAAGCCTTCCTGCATCAGTCAATGACACAGGTGAGAACAGACAGCTATAGTTGGCCCAACCCCCTGACAGATGTGGGACCCAATGTGGAGTGGAAAGAGAGGCCCTCCAACCTCACGGCCATCAACAAGGGGCCCCTCGCACCCCACAGCACTAGGGCACAGAGGATGGACCTTCCCTCAACCAGAGGACCATGCACCGTATTGTATAGGAGTGCAGGGGGGCAGGCCATCCTTCAAACAGGGAGACCCCCACATCCCACTGTATGGGAGTACAAAGGGCAGGCCATCCTTCAACCAGGGACCCCTCATCCCACTGTGTGGGGTTTCCTGTGCAGGAAGTGGGGGCAAGGTACAAACTCTTGGGCATATGTTGAAATGGAACGGGACCCCCAAACCATTCTGTCTTTATGTCACATGTCCTTCCCAGGCAGCCAGCACCAGGTCTACCCTCTACCCATGACCATGGTCCAGGGCCAGCACTCAGAGGAGACATATGTTTTTTTTTCAGTGGTCAGCAGTGGACAGGTTGGACCTGAAGCCTTTGCCCAGTCAGGTGGAAAAGGGACAGTGGGGGCAGCGGGTCATTCTGCTGGGCAGAAGATGCTACTGGAACCCAAAGCCTGCTGCAGGTTTGGGTCCTGGAGTAAAGATGGGTCTCTGGGCAAAGGGCAGGGAAGAGGTCCTCCAAACAGAGAAACTAAACACAGAGAGGATGCCAATGTCCAGCACAGGAGCCATGGAGACCAGGCCTCTGTGTCTATCTGAGGTCAGAGACCCTGCCACAGGGTGACCTGTGAGAGCTGCCTCCTTCTGGTCATCTTTAGAGGGGACTACATGTTTGGTGGACATTACAAGCAGGTGGTCCTGGCTGGACATGGAAACAGTAAGGACTTTGAGTACAGGGAAGAGCCATGGATGTCACTTTGCAGGTCTCTGCAGTCTCTTTTGGCTGTGACACTCCTGGCCCCTCTCTGGGGACCCAGATCCACGTGGCCCATCTGTTCATGTTCCACTCAGGACACCATGGCCCAGCCTTGCTGTGGTTGCCTGGAAGTGCCCTGGAGGCCATCCCACGAGGTCTGAACTATTTCCTAAACATTTGTCAAACAGTCTGAAGTATAGTACCCTTCTGGTCATCTACCTGCTCCAAAGCATGAAGCCTCTACCCCAGACAATGTGCAAAGCTGTCCCCTGAACAGCTTTCTCAGACTGACCAGCTAGGACCTGCAGACAGGACCTCACAGAAAATCCTTCTCAGATACCCTCAAGTCACCTTGATAGGCAATCACCGTGCTGAACCCAGCTCCCTCTGCACCCTAATTATACTAGAAGACTGTATTTGAGTATCTAATCAGGTTAATAATTTGAAGGCAGGAAAATAAAAACAGCCTTAAAAAAATTCCCAGGGCTGGGACTGGGATTCAGCTGGCACAATGCTCTCCGAAACATGCATGAAACCCTGGGTTCGATCCCCAGCACTGCATAAACTGCATGGTGGTGCATGCCCGTAATCCTAGTGCTGACAAGGTAGGAACAGGAGGATCAGGAACTCAAGGTCGACTTTCACTATAAATCGAATTTGGGGCCAGCCTAGAATCCAGAAGACCCTATTGAAGAAAAAGAATTAAAATAAACAATGAAACAAAACACCCAACCAGGCACAGTTGTGGAGGCCTCTGATCCCCAGCACTGGGGAGGTTAAAGAAAGAAGATCAAGCAGTCAGGCCAGTCTAAAGCCAGGCACAGCAGCACATGCCGGTGGGAGCATGTGGGAGGTGGAGGCAGGACATTCAGGAGTTCAAGGTCATCTTTAGCTACATAGCCAGCTAGCCAGCTTTAGACCAGCCTGGTGCTGTATAAGACTCTTGTCGCAAAAACAAAAACAAAATATCAACAAACACAAAAGCATCCCCATCATATGATTCAGAAATTCATTCTGCAATAGCTCTTGCTGAAAGATAAGCGGGGTCGGGGTGACAGACACAGTTCTAGCAACCTGTTCTGTCCTCACCCCAGCTTAGGTGACTGTGGTGACAAGAGAAAATATTATCAGCAGACCGTCTGAAGATCACAGCCTTTTCCCCATAGCCATCCCCCTGTGACAGCGTCATACCCTGCCCTTCCCCGTCCCCAGAACCTTCCAGCCTTTTCCTGGGCCCAGGCCTCTGGTTCTCCATCTCAGAGACTCAAAAAAATACTCCGTGTCTCCAAAAAGTAAGGTCTGGAGTCCCCCCAGCTTCTCACAACCAAGAGTTAGGTCACTACTCTGAAGGGGTCATGACAGAGTGCCCATCTTTGCAGGTTAATTAGGCATTCTCTAGACTGGGTATCCGAGACTCCAGAAGGTTCTGCACCAAGGGTGTGCTCCTTAGAGATGCTAGGCTGAGGCTGCTTCCCCTGATCTCTACTGAGCTACAAGGCGCAGTGTTGGGGGATGGCGTCTGAGTTACGCATCCATTCAAAATGAAACTCTGGACAGAAGCCTCTAGACTGTTCCTCAGACACACTCTTAAAGCCAATAGCTTCAGAGATAGACTGGGAGATGGGGGGGACAAGAAGAAGGGATGACCCTGCCGGAGAGAGTGTCCTTCGGGGGGACAGTGGGAATATGTCCTTTGGGGGGACAGTGCAGGTTGCTAAAACTGCCTAATTTTGGTTTAGTGTTGGGGTCACATCCAGACCACCAAAAGACAGAAACTTCTAACCTAGAAAGTGATCGTCTGCCCAAGGGTCCCAGCTTGCCTCTTACCCAGGTCAGCGGAGTCGGGGCACCTTAGGCCAGGCCAGCAGCCCCTCCTGAGGCAGGGAAAGAGGCAGCCATCACCCGCCCATTCACAGGGCCCAGAGAGCTAATCAGTGCCAGTGGGAGGGCAGGGACTAACTGACCCATGCACCGTTACAAGATACAATTTAGATTAGCACCTTCCTTTAACGAGGCTCCCCTAGGCATATAATAAAGCAAACCATCAAGAGTCTTCATGTCAGCCCCTAGCCAAGATGTTGAACTCTGATCTTAATGTTACTGCCACCAATTAGGTTTTGCTTTCCAGATACAAGTGCTCCCTTTCCTGTGACCCCAAGCTGCCTCTTCACTTTATCCCCTGGGGGCCATCCATCCCTTCAGCCTGGCACATCAACCTCTGAATTGTGATGGCTTCTCAGGGCTGTTTTGCACTATAATGAGAAGAGTTACTGGAAAGCACATCTGTGCCTCTGCTCCTACGGCCGCTCAGGCTTCTTTGCTGCCCCTTGGCCAGAGCCCCAAAGTCCCCAGCACCCTGCTACCCAGAACAGGCACAGGCATCTCTTACCAGGGAGCAGCTGCTTGGTGGGCGTGCTGAGCTGTGCATCTTCTGTGACTCGGTAGGCAACATCTGGGCCTTTGGAAGAGCGTCTCGATGCACAAAAACCTGTGGTCTTCGTCACCCCATCGGGCAAGTTGTGAAAATCTAGAACCTTCAGGAGGTCTACTGGCTGAGCTGCAGAGACAGAGAAGCTGTGTCAGACCCAGAGTGGAAAGAGGGTCATGGAAACCACCCTCCCCACTATCCTCCCCAGAAACTTCTGGTGCACACAAGAGGCTGGGGGCTTGCTCAGCAGCTGGAAGGACACCTCTTAGAAGTGTCCCACACCAGGATGAGAGCTTCACCTGCCCCCTCTGATGACCCCTGGCCAAATTCCTTGTTTGACAACCATATGACCTTCTTACCCCAAATCCACAACTGGCCTGATTCTCGCAAGCTCCACCTCCAGCAGCAGCAAGAGGGGATGTGTCTGTTGCACGCCCCCACCTAGACACAACTGGGAAGCTTTAGTAGACACACTGTCCCCATCCCCACCCCACCCCGCCCAGCATCTCTACAGTGCTCTTTCCAACGGGGGCGTGACTGACAGCTTGAGAAATCGCCAGGCAACCTCTGGACTGCCGGCTCCTCCCATCTCTCCACGTCATGATGTTCTCCCCCACGTTGCCCCCGTAACAGTTTACGGCAAGTATCTGGTTTCCATCTGCCCCCATAAGACCTAGGCCTGGACCCCGTGTACAGGAGAATGCTCCCAGGGCCTTTATGTCACTTCCCGAAGGTCCTGACTCTCCCTCCTTTAGGGGCAGAAGCTGATCCCCTGACCTTTGAAGCAGCTTTAACTGTCAACTTGACACAACACAGAACACCTTAGAAGAGTGTCTCAGTGAGGATTGCCCCCACTGGATTTGCCTGTGTGCCTGTCTGTGGGGGAACTGTCTTAAGTTGATTGATGTGGGAAGATCGGCCCCCTGTGGGCAGCAAGATTCCCTTAAGCAGGGGGTCCTGAACTGTACAAGGTGGGAAATCAGATGAGCACAAGCGAGTGAATGAGCGAGGATTGGTCTCTCTCTGTTTCTGACTGTGGATGTGGTGTGGTAGCTGTTTAAGTGCCTGTCTTGCCTCCCCACAACAATAGGCTGTAGTCGGGAATTGGAAGCTGAAGCAAACCCCTTTCTTCCCCACACTGCTTTTTTGTTTAGGGTTTTTTCACAACCACAGAAATGAAGCTAGGATACCACCACACATAAAACATGCTCGCCCCCCGCCAGTGTTCCCTTCCCTCATATCATGAGACCATTGTCCGCACACCTGCCCCAGACAAGGTGGTCTCCTGTGGAAGTCCAGCTCACATTAGCGCAAACAGGGGGCTCCCAGACACCCAGGCAGAGGATAAGGTCCATGATGGTGTGACAGAACAAGTCACTGCAGGCACCCACCTGCCCACCATGACCGCTCTGCTGGCCAATCACAGCATGACACCACCTGTCACATGACTAGGGTGAGCCGCTGTGACTCCGTCCTGTGACAGTCCTCTCGAAAGAGGAATTTGATGTTCTTTAGGCTGCGTACACTGATGGAGTCAGAGAGTACAGGTTTCCCCAGGGAACATAGGGATTGCAGAGTCAGACTCCTGCCTTGCCATGTAGGCACCTGGATCCAGCTGTGCCTGAGCCTGCACGCTCATCCTAGGCCCTTCTGTGTTACGGTATGACGCGTGCTGTTAAAACTCAGCGCCCACATCTGCGGGTAGCAGGACGCTGGAGTCGACTTGCCCATGGCTGCCTAATCCTTCCTAAACTCAGTCCATCTGGGTGGGTGTTACTGTGCGACTGGCTCAGGAGGAAGCCGCACTGTTCATAAGAAGGTGGTACGAAAGGGTGGTCACACCAGCTTCCTCAGGGCAGGGTTTCTGAGAGATGATGGCCCTAGCTGCATACCCATTACCCTGGGGTACTGAGGCTGTGTAAGCAGTCAGGTCTATGGTCAACTTTGCTGTGTCCTTGATCGTTCACTCAAGAGAGAAAAGGTTCCTCACCTCCACAGGAAGTCATTACGGAGGACAGCAGGACCCATTGTGGGAAGCCAGCACACTACTGGACCAGGCTGGCTTCCACTCGTTTCAGAATCCTGCCTCTCACGGCCTCTGGTGTGCCTGGGTGGCTCTTGGCCATGATCCAGTGCCCAGCCCACATGAGCTGCGAGTCATTTACATGTCTGTGGCACCTCCCCAGTGCTGTATGTGGTGACAGAGTCCTAACTGGGCCCTTGTCCAGTGAGCATCAAAAGCAATGCTAAGCACACTAGCAAAGCCACATGGCACGGTCCCAGGCCTGGACCTGGCCGTGGGAAGACGGCTGTGCCAGCGTCCTACACACCTGCCCAGAATGACAGAGCACAGAGCCCTGGGTCATCTCCGAGACTCAGTTCCAAGGCTGGCAGAGGCCCGGGAAAGAGATCAGGGATCCTAGTAGAGCTTCCTGGACTCACATCACAGCATCTATGCTATGATATTCTTCCCAGACTAGGCTGGAGCCTGGTTTCCCCATTGCTGAAGGTGGAGAGTGGTTTCCCAGCAGTCTGCCTGGGGATGTCTGCAGACCTGTGTTGTAACAAGTTTTTTAAAAGGCCACCAGACCTCTCCCAGGCCCGATGCCACCCCTCCTACCAGCCAGGGCCTTTCTGTGCCAGACAATGAGATATATTTAGTCTAAACAAGGTGTGGGGCACTCCAGAGCAGTGTCCAGCACGCTCAACTCTGGCAAGATCTCCTTCCCGTGTCTGTCTGCCCTTTGAGGTAGCGCCTCACCCAGGTTAAGCATTCCACTCAGAAGTGGCATGATCGGTGGGGATAGGTAGATGTGGCTGAGGCCAGGGTTCCCCTCTCCCATCCCCCGAGGGGAGATGTGACAGCGGAGCCCAGGGAGAAGTCACCTGGAGCCAGCCAGGGGCAGTTCCCAGAACCCACAGCTCAGAGGCCCTTTGGGAGGAGAGTGGTACTCAGGGTGCCCCAGCAGGAAGTCCATGCTTCAAAGTAAGAGTCCCTCAGGCGTGCTCACAGGATCCTGAAACCCACCACCCACTGCAAATGAGGTTCCTCAGAAAGCTTTGAAAGTAAGAACTCCATTGCTGTTTACAGGCTGTTCCACACATGACCAGATCCAGCCCCAGAGAGAATTCCCACCCTGCACAGCTCATGGGCCAGCCTCCTCCCATTGCAGACTCTGCAACCTAGGGGACTAAAACTACATTTCCCAGATGCCTTTGCACTAAGGGTTCCAGAGTCTACCAATCAGAGAGAATTTGAAGTGGAACATGAGGGGTAGTGGCCTCTCCTATCTGTCACTCTGTGAGTCTACAGAGGTAGTCAGGGTGCTGATAGGGTGGGTGGGTGGATGGATGGATGGATGGATGGATGGGTGGGTGGGTGGATGGACGG